TGAAGTTTTTGTGTACTTGGTGAAGACTCAAACCACACTGATGTCTCAATACACACAACTACATTCACTTATATAATAGTTATGTGAGTCTTATACTATTATACTGTGATATATTATCATTCGTTAAAAGAAACAATTTCTGAACTTCAGATTGAGGTTTTATTTGTGTAAAGGTCAGTCAATACATTGACATGAGCTAATATTAGCAATGTTTTAGTTATTTATTTATCACTGAACTTGTTCTTTATGTGAGTTTAGAGTCCTTTATTTCTCTTAAAGCACATGCAGCTCATTACTGGTTTCTGTAAGACTGTCAACACACTCTTAACAGATCAATTATTTCTTCCAAAGTCTCTATAGATTGTAACAATTAAAATGTAGCTTGTTTCTGTGCCAATTTTGTTTTCTTTTCTTCGTTTTTAGGTTGAAAAGAACATGTGTGAGCAGCTTAGCTCTCTCGAAAGCCTCTTATTCACCTGGTATGTAACAAAGATGTTTTTCGCCCTACACTGTAAAAAATTGCTGTTAAAAAACGGTCAGATTCTACGGTAAAATAATGTTTTTTCACTAAAACAGTAATATTCTGTTAAAAACAGTGCTTTCTGGATAACATTTTTGTTTTCGAGAAAGTAACCAACTGCAGAAAACTGTGAGCTAACAGAGTTCAGATTCGGTGTTTTGAAGTCTGTGTTTGAAATCACACTTTGTGTCCTTGTTCACTATTTCATACACTAGTTAACTAATATAGTTCACCTGACAGTTTTAATGAACACTAATGAGTGAATTCAGACACTGATGAACACCTGCTGTTAATAATTACAATTACTGAAGAAAAGAAACAAGAAACACAAACAGTGACTTGAGTTACAACATTAAATAAAATCAAATAAAATAAAACAGCTTCAGTCTCAGCAGAGGATCATTAAACAACTCCACAAACAACAGCAGACACACTTATTACTGACTGATTTGACTTCCATACTATTCTCATTGAGATCCAACAGAAATTAAGGTGTTTTTTGTGTCACCGTAATGGAGTGAGGGGCTGGTTTAGTTGGGCTCTTCACCCTTGAACTCATTTAAGAAGACTTTCCAACTGCTGTAACACAGAGTTTACAAAACGTTTGTACTAAAAGCAATTTAGCAATAAAGTTGGAAAGTCAATAAATAGAGAAATCTATTTGTCTGAAATTAGTTCTGATAAATGTTTTGGTATAAATCTGGAAGAAGGGCCACATGCAATAGATTTTATGCTTAGTTGCAGGTATTAATTTAATTAATGAGAAGTGAAAACAGAAAAGATACCTCCGTAATTACTTAACAGTTAATAAATAACATACAAAAACAGTTCAGTTATGACAAATACACACTCAGACCTCATGAATCTGACCTTGTATCTCAACAATGGTAACATCTCAAATGTTTCATGCTGCAATGCATGCTGGGAGTGGCACTGTACAAATATCCCAGCATGCATTGCGGTATAAATAAATGTTGTATGATGGTCTCACAGTTTTCTTTATTTGTGTTTGATTCTGCTGTTGTTTATGTTTAGACTTTCAGTTGCCTGTTTGTGAGTTAAACTGTTAATTTTGTTAAATTTGTTGTCACCATTATTGAGGTTCATATGCTGATTATTGATGTCTCTTTGAGTGCGATTTACACCATAGAGCACTGTTATTGTCCAAGATAATCTTAAAAACTTCCAGAAATCATTGCCATATATATACATCTAATGTAAAACAATAGATTTAACATTGAATAGGAGCAGTAAATTTTATTATACGAAATGAGAACAGACTCTGCCATTTATTAGCAACATGAACATCACCAGATCTTATTGAGGTTTTTGGCTGGCTTGCCACATCAAAGGAGCTTTTTAAACAAAGTTCTTAACAATTGCAGCAGCCACAATATATAAATGTTAAAAATGACAGGGCTAAGAGCCCAACTAAAGCAAACTCTGTTCTCCATGATGGTGAAGTAAAACTTTCACTTTTTCTCAAGAAGAACTTTAGTAGATGTTATACAAAAATACATGTATTAAGTAATAAGTGTAGCTGGTGATGATGTTTGTAGAGTTGTTTAATCATCCGCTGATCATTTAAATGATTTAATCATTTGTTGTTCTTCAGGTTATTTCATTATAAAGCTGTGACTAAAGTTTTGTATGTTCTGTTCTTGTTTTTTCCCTTCAGTATTTCTTCATTTGTTCATTGTTAATCCTCAATTATCATTTAATTAGTCAGTTAATTAATGAATTTACTTCAGCTTTGCTACATGTTTCTTGAACACTCAGTAGTGTGGACACTTCAATTAAAACTGAAGTATATGCTCTGGGGTTTAAAGGGTTAAAGGTGTGAGAGGTAAAAACACAGTGTAAAAATGTATTTTAACAGTAATATACTGTTAATTTACACAACGGAAATAGACTGTAAAAAAACAGTAGATTGCTGGCAACCACAGCTGCCAGTAGATTACTGTTAAATCAAGGAAAAAACAGTATTTTACTGTAAAACCTGAAGCTAATTTCTTCTGTGTGTCACCGTTGTGGAGGAGAGTAGAGCCAGTGTATGAGTTAAAGATGAACAATGAGCTGCTGATGTTATTCTGCATGTTTCTCTATTTAAAGACAGCGGCTGTTTAGTTGCTGATGCAGTCAGAATCTCTCTGGTGATTCCAGATTTACATGTATGTGTGCTGTTGTGAAAATAAGACATTAGAGTTAAACCGAACTTTTCTAATTAACTAAAATAAGTTATCATTATAAGTATGCTTCTAAGCATGTATAGCACATTACTTCATAAACTCATTCAGCAGTTGACCAAGTTGAGACAGTTGCTTTCAGTGAGCAAAATGAGTTCACTTGAGTATTGTGTAAATCAATGTAGTCCATGTATTTTTACAGCAACAGACTGTTAAATAACAGTACATTGCTGGCAACTGCAGCTGCCAGTATTTTACTGTTTTTTAACGGGACAATTTTTAACAGTGTAATTATTCCTTGTGTTTGTGCATACATATGCATAGACATTCACAAAAGCATATATAAGATACTCTGTGACAAAACTTTTTCCTTTTAACACAGTAAAGCGATCACATACTGTCCATTTTTTATCTATCATGCATCTAAATATTTATAATCACAAAATAATTATATAACAAGTTAATTTATTGTATAGGCAGTGTATACAGAGTAATTCAATGACAAGAGTTCACTTTCATATCTACACAATGCAGAACTTTTAATGTGATTACCCTGCTCCACCTACACCAACTACAGCATTTCTCAGACTTCTGTTTCACTATGGTGTAATTACAGTGGTGGACATCACATAAAACAACAACTGCACTTACTCCTGTAACTTGTTTGCAACAATGAATTTTAAATATCTGTGTCACATATTCATTCAAATAAATGGCTCATCATCATGTGCAGTCATCTTTATTAATAGCTGCCTAATAGGCCAGACCATTAACTGAATAGGATCGTTTTACATATATGAAACCTGTTATAGCTGTTCATGCCAATATCAACTTGATAGCCTAAAGCAAATTATATGAACAGGACCTGCCTTACATCTCTTAAGACAAATAATCAAAGGTGTCTATAACAATACATGCTTGATTGCCCAGATCATTACAATCGCTTTATCTGATTGGTGCCTTTTCACACATTTAAATATAACAACCATTTGTAAGCATAGTTCTTCACCAATATCAGTTTAATACCTCAAATAATTATACATGAAGGCATCACAGTGGTGCAGTGGGTAGCTGGTTCGAGACTCAGATGGATCAGTTGGCATTTCTGTGTGGAGTTTGCATGTTCTCCCCGTGTTCGCATAAGTTTCTTCCGGATTCTCAGGTTTCCCCAAAGTCCATAGACATGCGGTGTGTGTGAATGAGTATGTATGCATGCTTCCCAGTAACGGGTTGCAGCTGGAAGGGCATCTGCTGTGTAAAGTATGTGCTGGATAAGTTAGCGGTTCATTCCACTATGGTGATAATTATTACTATGGTAATAAAGGGACTGAGCCGTAAATGAATGGATATATGAGTAATATCATCCCACGAGTATTAGTGCTATCAGTTTTTGTATTTCTATTTGTTGTAATGACCTGTTGTTATTGCAATGAAAAAAAATAAATAAAATAAAAATAAATAAATAAATGTGGCTGTATAATAGCAGTGGTGGAATGCGTGTGCTATAGTGTACACTAGGCACTCGAGAATGATTGTCCCTCTACCTGTTGTTTCAATCTCCTGAGAACTCTGCTCATCTTCAGAACGCAAATGAAGACACTTTAAAAGAAATCAGAGAGCTCCTTCATCAGTCATAGACAGCAAGAGATCTGAGATGCTCAAAGTCCAGAAAAGGAACCAAAAACGATGTCAAAACACGTGACTTTTGTGGTTCAATTGTAATCGAGCTCAAAGAACATTTTGTGTGCAAGAAAATGTGGAAAAAAGCAGCCATGTTCAAAGTAGGAACTGTTGAACCATATAGTGTTTTTTTTTTTGTAGTTTTTTTGCCCATGTATTCTCTTTATTTGCATTCAGCAGCAGAAACTCAAACAGATTTGGAACTAGAAGATGAGTAAATGACAGAATTGTATTTTTTTGTGAACTACACCTTTTCAGCTTCTGTAAGTAAAGGTAAATTAAATATTACTGAAGATATTGCTAAAGAATGGCAGGAAACATGGAACACAGATAATAAGTGACGACAATTCATGTGGAAAAAAAGAAACCCTATATAGGCCTATAAAGTTGTAGAAATAGAAAAGAAGAGGTCATAATTATGAGGATGAGATTTGTACTCAGATATTAAGAAGTAATGTTGTTGTAGACATACAAGTCATCATAAAGTGGATTAAAAAAGTTAAGAAAATGTTTGGATTAAAGGTTTGTGTGAGAGAGAGAGCAGATATTGTGTAAAGTGAAAACCATGGGAGTAATGTATCAATAGGAAAGTGTCAAAAAAGCTTTTAAAAAAAGACTTTTATTTTGGCGTGGCGCATGACGTCATCAGGCAGCGCCGCTTCACCGCTGTGATTCAACTGGACAAAGGTTTGTTTGAAAACGTTTACACAGATATAAACCGATTTAAAGTTAAAGTTCTAAAGTTTTAAGTTTTTTATATGGTGCTAAATTATATTCTTGCTTTTGGAAATATTATTTTAACCCTTTATACAACGTAGTACTATTTTATTCTGAGTAACTGATGGCTATTGTTTGAATAAAGTAACAGGGAAGTGTGTAATAAGTGTTTTAAAGAAACATTTTACCTGATTTCTTTTTGTTAATTACTCCCATAAAAAACATTGAAGCAAGTGTTGAAGAGAAGTTATTTTGTTTCTGTTCATTGTTTTGTTCATTTTAAACAGGATAAAGTGTCACAGAGAAAAACTGCTGAAGCAACTGATCTCTACACTGTTATAAAGATGGCGTTTATTAAAGAGGAGAGTGAAGATATGAAGATTGAAGAGACATTCACAGTCAAACAGGAAGATCTGCAGAACCAAACAGGTTGATTTTCATTCTCAAATATCAACGCAGTCATTTGATCCTCATTCAGATATATTTTAATAATAAGAATACTAAATTAAATCCATCTTGCAGCCCTGAGTGTGCTGCCTAGTTCTCCTAAATGCACATAAACACTGATTGAAAAACAGGAATGAGTTTCTTTTGTCACTTTTCTTATTGGTTTTGTCATTCTTTTTATGTATTATTAGTCTCCCATTTTCTCTACCTTCTTAAGGTTATCAGAATCAGAAAGAGCTTTATTGCTTTTCTTTTTCTCCTGCTGTTGGTAAGCGTCCTTGAGCGCTGCCGCTATATACAATAAACAAAAACAGTAAATTAAAAAAAGTTCAACTGAGCTGACGATGTTTGACCTAGTCTGTCCCTGATTAGACAAACAGCAGGTAACCTTTTTTTGATGGCATTTCTGCATCCTGTCAGGTATATAAAATGTCATCATGTAGGTCTTCAGCTAAGCCTCAGGACATGCACAAAGGCAAGAATAAAAAGACAAAAGTACAAGTGAATGAAAACAAGTTGCAAAGTATGTCATCTTGCTATGTCCTCAGTACTCCAGTTTACAGCAAACGTGGCATTAAGCATTTGCATAAGTTCATTCATTCATTTTCCTTTGGCCCAACTGGGCCGAAAAAGGAAAAAGTTGAAGAGAAATTGCTAGTTCCCTTCAAAACCCAGGCAGTGTTTCCTCTAGGATTTTTTCCAGCTGTAGCGGCAGGCCTTTTTAGACAGATCTACCAACTACCTGTGGTGTTATTTCAATGACAAATGTCGTGACCCCAGTATTAGAAGTCGAGATCACATTTATGTAATAGCCTACAGCATGCAGATCTCTTTGCTTGTATATTTATGAATGTCTCTAATAGACCTACAGAGCGATATTAATGCGTCCTGAAGTGAAGTGAAACGGCTATAGATCGTGTTAACTGGCCTTACACATCATACACCTGTCAGTCAGTCTGTCAGCACTTATTCTTAACGTGGTAAACAAATAATACACAGCACTACTACGATTACAGAGAAGTTGGCGCTGTTATAATTCACTCGTGTTTGAATATGTTTTGGTGCGATTATTACCGGCTATTAAAAAAAATAAAATGTTTTGAAAGAGAAGCTGTAATGTAGCTGTGGCGGGATGAATTTTGTTGTGGTGCCCCGCTATGGAAGAATAAATGTAGCGGAAACCATGCCAGGTTAACAAATATATACATTTTCTACCCCATTAAACACTTCTTTCTCATCATGTAGTTAATAACAAAAGCTATATGTATTTTTAGCTGTGAGACATAGTTTGGACAAAGTTGTCTGTGATTGTGCTTTTGTAAAGTCATGCAGTGTGAAACTCCCTGTCGCTGATCCATCTTGCAGTGTAAACAAAGCAGTGCCAAAACATTAACTCAGATAGTCATGTAGTGTGAAAAACATCCGTAACACGAATATTTTGAAAATCATGCAGTCTGAACTCAGCATTAGATGCAATGTAAAACATGTTTTCTTAGATTATCATATTATTGACTACACTGGATATACACAAACATGTCATCCCTTCTGCATGCCCATTCTTGGCTTTCCTGATCATTCCTTGACCTACAACACACACATACTTCAAGACAATAATGTTTTGGTAAGATTACCACACTCAAAATCAATTTACGTGTTAGTGATAATAGTGCATTCACATTAAGTGTACTTAAGAACAAGTTTTGGGAAAATGTACTACAATACATTACTAATAGATTTTTTATATATTAACTTATTTTAAACTTAGGATTAGTATGTAAACAGTGTACTAAAAATCAACTAATGTTTAAAGCATTTAAAGCACAGTTTTAAAAAACACACTAATAAAACTTTTTTTTCTGTAGTGTACTTTATTGTAGTACACTAAAAATTTATTTAAGTATTACTGGTATTTAAAATACTTTTGTCAAGTGTACTAAAGTCCTACTGAAGTGTAAACATACTTTTAATTAGTATATTTATAGTGTAAAACCATCAAACTTTTATTTAACACAAAAAATAACAATGTTCTAAAAATGTATTTGCGGGTATTTAAGTGTATTTTAATTGCATTTAATTATTTTTTTTTTCACCTGGGATGTCATCTCGCCATCTCCTCATCACTCCAGTTTACAGCAAACGTGGCATTAAGCATTTGCACAAGTTCATTCATTCATTTTTCTTCGGCTTAGTCCCTTTATTCATCAGGGGTCACCACAGTGGAATGAACCACCAACTTATCAAGCATATGTTTTAAACAGTGGATACCTGTCCAGTTGCAAACCAGTACTGGGAAACATTTGCATAAGTTATTTACAATAATGCAAACTCACTAATATAAGCTGAATTATCCGCACTTGCTATGAACATGCAGGATTTGTGTCAATCGGGTCTTCTAAGAAAGTTATAAATGTTTAAATCCAGTGGAAGATACACATAAGGGAACACAACAGGAGTAATCTAGAGCGAGTGCATTTGATCATTTGCATTTAAAGCCACAGGCACAAAAACAGCTTGGTTTTCCTCTGACCCCCAAAATGAAATATTCTGCAAGGTACATGATCTGATTTTGAGCCGAAACCTCTGACACATTCTGGGAACACCAAAGACTTATTTTACATCTTGTATAAAAAGGTTCATAATAGAAACCCTTTAAAGGGATAGTTGCTGAGTCACGCAAAAATGAAAATAGCCTTATCATTTACTCTCCCTTAATGAGTTATCCCTTGATTCTGTTGAACACAAAAGAAGATATTGTAAAAAAATGCAGGCTTTCTTTGTGTTTCAAAAGAAAGGAAATGTTTAAAATCACATGACGGAGATTAAATGGTATGGTCATTTTTATTTGTGGGTGAAACATCCATTTCATGCTTATCGCTTTGTGGCTTCATACTAAAGTTCACTTTTTTGTTGTTTTTTAAGATCTGATGGTCCTGAAAGAAGAGACACATCAATGGAATGAAATGGAAGAGAAACACCAAGACATAACGACTGATGAAAAACCCACACTGACTAAAATGACTTCATCATGCAGAAGACCTCGGAAATCCAAATCTAAGTGTAATTTCAGCAGTAAACAGAGTAGAAAGAGTTTCAGTCAAAAGCCAAAGCTTGATGTTCACATGAGAGTTCACAAAGGGGAGAAAACTTGCACCTGCAAACAGTGTGGAAAAAGCTTCTATAAAACATCAAGTTTAACAATGCACATGAGAATTCACACTGGGGAGAAGCCTTACACCTGCAAACAGTGTGGAAAAAGCTTCTGTAATACAACAAACTTGACAATGCACATGAGAATACACACTGGGGAGAAGCCTTACACCTGTGAACAGTGTGGAAAGAGTTTTTGTCAAAAAGAAAACTTTAAAACCCACATGAGAACTCACACTGGAGAGAGGCCATACACATGCCAACAGTGTGGAAAAGGCTTCTATCATGCAGGAAGCCTTGCAGTGCACATGAAAGTTCACACTGGAGAGAAACCTTACACATGCACAGTGTGTGGTAAAAGTTTCACATATAAAAGCACACTCAATAACCACATGAGAACTCACACCGGAGAGAAGCTGTTTGCATGTGCTCAGTGTGGAAAGAGCTTCACAACCAAATCTAGCCTCATGAACCACATGAATGGTCACACTGGAACCATAGTGTTCACGTGTGATCAGTGTGGAATTAAACTCACACGCAAAGACTACATTAGGCGACACATGAAGACCCACTCAAGAGAGAATCGTTTTAGATGCAGTGAGTGTGGAAAGGGCTTTACCCATAAAAGAAGTCTCAGCGCTCACATGAAGCTTCACAATGAAGAGCAGAGTCCTGAAAAATGAGGCCTTGTCCACAGAAACACGGGTATATTCAAAACGGCAGCTTGTTCATGTAGTTTGGCTGTTCATTCAAATGAAGTTTATTTTTAAACTACTTTTGAGAGGATCACATGCTTATGATTGTCCACGGCTGGTCCTGCATTAGCTAACCCATGATTCACCAATCAGATGATTCCAATCTCACTATAAATAACCAGAGTTTTTTTTACCTCAGTTATTGGTTACATGCAGGGCCGGATCAAGCTGAACTGCCGCTCTAGGCAGAGGACACTCACGCCGCCCTAAACCCCAATGTGAAATCGAAAGTGACCGGTTATGAAAATGAAGCGAGGTATGGTGGACCTCTTTTCTGCCGCCCTATGCGCGGATATAACTGAGGACGCGCGAGTGCTGAGGGATGTGTCACTGACGCCGCCTCCTCTATTCTGTCGCCTATGTGCGAATATAACTGAGGACGCGGGTGGTGAGGGAGGTGTTGCGGACATAACTGAGGACGCGGGTGGTAAGGGAGGTGTCGCGGACACTGCCCTCTCTCTCCGCGCTGGCCCTGGTTACGCAGTTACGTCGTTTGTTATAAAGTAGTGTCTCACAGACTGTACTTTGGTTAAGGGTACTTGAAGACGGATGAGTTAACATCACTGATGAGGACCTACACTATTAGTTGCCTTTAATAAAGTTTTATTTACGACAGTTACGACAGATCAGATTTGTGTCAGATTATGAGATTTTGACTTGATCAAATCTTGATGTGTTGTGTGTAACAAATGAAGACTTTGATTTCAAAACTCTACACATTTATTTTGATGGACTAATTTGAGAAAAGAATTGTCTTTCTGAAGACAATTACAGTCTCTGTAGACAACTTGTTGCCTTTAAAGATGCAATGTGAAAACTCCCATATTACTACAAATAAATCTGTTTATGTATTTAGATTCATTATTATTATTAGATTCATAAATGTATTTAGATTCATTATTATTATTATTTTTTATATTATGATATATCTATAATCTGGAACAAAGAAGTGAATTCAGTGAAATCACTGATTCTGGAGAAATGAGTCAAACTGACTCTCATGTGTCTTGAGATTGGCTGTTTGATGCACTTGTGTGTCTTGTGATTGGCTGTTTCCTGCACGTCACACTTTAAGCTGCATTTGCTCCAGAGTTGATCACAAACTAAAGTAAACTTTACGGTTTATATCAAGCCTTGTCAAATCATTTAACATCGCCGTAACCAGGTTGGGTTTATTTGATTTTGTCAACTTCCAGAGCTTTATCTTTTAACCAGGAGAAGGAGGGAAAATGCACTCACTCTGCATAGTGACATCTTAAAATAGTATTTAAACTAGCCTAATAGACCAGGGGTTCTCAACCTTTCACAAGCTGCCCCCACCCCCAAAAGCTGGTTCATTGCAGTTGTATATAGTGTATATAAACTAAATACGGCCTCATGTTTTATACGTTTGCAGCCTCTGCAGCTTCTGTCCATCATAAAAATTTATTTGGATGATTTGACTTTCCGCCGTTTTCTAAAGTCTATGAGCGCAGCACAAACAAACTAAATTGACATACTGCAGTCACACTTCAAAATGTGGTGTTTTTACATTTATAACATTTGAATACAGTTCAGCAAAATACATCACACGACCTGACGACCAAGAGATCTTAATTTACCATCACCAAACGATTAAATATGTGGCACTGATTTCATACAGAGTTCATACAGACACAGCCTAATGAAAACCAGGGTTTTTTAAGCACTTTTTCCAGCACCTATTTTTATTTTCAAAACTGACACGCAACATATTGAACACCTGAAATGTATTCTCAGCAACCCATTAAAGCATTGCATAGGAACCATCTATTGATTTATTAAAGAAAACATTAATAAGATATAATAATTAGTTAATAATATATTTATAATTAAGAATATAATAAACCAAAATTGACACGCAATGTATTGAACACCTGCAATGTCTTCTCAGCAATTAATAAAAATACTGCATTGGAACTATCTATCGATTTATACAATTAAAAAAAAACATTTATTAACAACAATAATAATTGATCATATATTAATAATATAATAAGCCTGCACTAAATGTGCCTGTGATTTTTTTATTTTATTTGTTGATGTTCTCTCACAGATGACAAGTTTTAGTAAATAATACTAATATATTACAAATTACTCTTTTAAAAAACTACACTGAGTACTAGTTAATTACTTTTGAGAAAAACTCAGATTTTCATTATGGCCCTTTTTAAGAATAAAACTATTTAAATGGTTTAACTGCTTACATCACAAGGCTGCATATAGGAATTTGCATTAACAAAGTATGGTCGATTTTTCCTTTCATGACATTGACTCAATTTCAATAGTACTGGCACAACTACCACATACTTTAAAGGCCATAGAGACACTTTTTGTCCATTTGTAAACAATACTTCCAAGCTTTGAAATGTTTAATTAAAGTATATGATGAAAATATTTAAATTTGGAGTTTTATTTACATATTGTACACGATTGTCCTATTTGCTCATTGTTGTCTATACAACATTTTATTTTACACTTGATCTTAAACTGAAATAATTTTACACAAGGACAAGGACACTGTCAGTGATAAAATAATAAAACAAATGACTTCGTTTCACTTGAGGTATTTGAAATATGACGACTCTACATTTCTCAAAGCAGTGCTTTAAGAGCCTTATTGTTTATTTTGATAAATGTAACAAATTATTTGACCTGTAATGCCTGCACAATTTAGTGATGCTTTAAGACCAATCAGAACACCCCTATTATGTATAAATCACATAAATACCTCATCCAGAAACATTTCTGGCATAATTATTTTGTCGTAAAGAAATAAAAAGTTTCACCTTTGCTATTAGCAGCCAATGACTATCAAAGTACAACATTGGTCACAGTCAAATAAACAGTGTTAATGTTGTTTTTAAGTCATACTTGCATGCTAATTCTGATCGAATATTCAAAATTAAATGGTAAACAATATAGAGACTTCTAAATGAACGAATGTGTGAATATAAAAAAAACTTTACCTTTATAACTCGCCATCGGGAGAGAAGAGAGTGAAACGTGTTTATAAAAAATGTAAAATATATTACAATTTGTTTATGAAATAATGACTGTTTTGGTCTAATTTAGCAGCAGAAAGAGATCCGATGAATCCAAACAAAGATAACAAATTTGCACGTCCCCAAGTGTCTGGCTCAAGAAGTTCTTGTAACTCAGAAAACAGCACTTCAGGATCCCTATTGCTTTCAGACGATCTGGTGTGTACACCTAATGACAAAACAGCTTCTCTGACGAGTTTTCCATTGTCATGTCTTTTTGACCTAAGGGTATGAACCTAGCTTTTTGAAGGTCACACTGGATTGTGCTGCACAGCCAACTTCAAAGAACTGCATCAAAGACAACCCAGGTGGGACTTGAACCCACAATCCCCAGCTTCAAAGGCTGGTGCCTTATCCATTAGGCCACTGGGCCATGTCACTAATTTCTATCAAGTATCTCTTGTATGCCTTCAACAAGACTCTTCTTCAGGGCTTGTTGGTCTCGTGCTATGATTCTCACTTAAGGTGCGAGAGATCCTGGGTTCAAATCCTAGATGAGACCTATGTCTGTCACAGAAAAAGCAGTGGTGATGTGCTGTGCTGTCTAGGGTGTTTATATGTTAATTGTAGCACATTCAGCTGTGTTTTCAGTTAATGAACATGTTGTGGACTTCTGATCTAAATCAGTATAACTTGTACGATTATACAGACAAAAAAAAAACCGTCCTATCGGATTTCTTTGAAGGATTTCAATTAGAATTATGATCATATTTTGCAACCATTCCTATAGGATTGTTTTAAAGTACAATACATAAAAATCCTTTAGGATAATTTCTACAACATTTTAATTGGATCCAATTTATATCTTAATTAAGATATGCTTTTCTATTGTCTCTCTTAGCCTATTATACAATAGTTTTGAATGTTTAATGCACAAATTTCCAAACTAACATGTCTATACCAAAAACATATACAATGTCGCTAGCCCAAACTGTGGGCTGGCCCACTCAAAACAGACGTTCACTGTGGGCCCATAGCAAGTCCGCACAAAGTGTAGTGTATATAGCCACAATGGGCGAAGTATAGGTATACTATCTGGGTCAGAAGTATGTCCTATGAGCATGCTCTGTGGGCATTTAGTAATTAACAAGTTAGGTCCCACTAATACTAAGTTGAGTCCAGGCACAAAATGTGCCTATAAGGTCCCAGTAAAGCCCTTTTATGCAGGGCCATTGTGGCTTTAACACAAAACAAAACTAGTTCACTTCTACTATGTAGCAAAATAGCACAATATCACTTCAAATGCATAATTACATATTTTGAAAGCATAAAGTAAAATCAGTAATAAATGAAGCATCTAAAAATATAAAGACAACATGGACTATTTTTCAAAGGTTTGGGACAAAACTGCTTTAGTTTATAAAAATGCAGATATAAAAGTAACCTTGTAAATAATTATTCCTTTTTAATATGTTAGCTTTTCCATTTGAATATGTTAAAATATAATTTATTCCAATGATGTTAAAGCTGCATTTGAGGCATTTGTGTCCTAAATAAAATAATTTGAGACAAAACAACAAAACATATAAAAATATACTTAGTTAAAAGAAAAACAAAGTAAGATTTTCATGTTTGTATTTTCTCTACCATTTGTACCTTAAAGGGTCACGAAACTCCAAAACACATTTTTTGAGCTGTTGACAATCATATATGTGTCCCACACTGCTAAAAACACTATTTGGACACAAATATTTCACTAAAAAGTGTAAATTGGTTGTTTTTGCGTTATTTCAAGCAAATTTGTACTTCCGGTTTGAAACAAATTTTTGAAGCTGCGTCTCAACCATGAGATAATAGCATGTATTCCAGCGTGCAGACTTGACGTCTGTGCCAGAGTGTGTCTTATTACATCTTACAGTGCGGCTCGAAGGACATCTTTTGCATTCAGAGCTGCTTTCGTGAAGAGATCATCGGCAACACTGCTCGAAGTTTACCAAG